CCAGAAGCGACGAGGAGTCCTGTGGCACCTTATAGACTAACTGAAGTGTAGGAGCATAAGCTTTCGTGGGCAAAGACCCACTTCGTCAGATGCATGTCTTTGCCCACGAAGTGGGTCTTTGCCCACGAAAGCTTATGCTCCTACACTTCAGTTAGTCTATAAGGTGCCACAGGACTCCTCGTCGCTTTTGCAGATTCAGACTAACACGGCTACCCCTCTGATACTAAACACACCAGAGTGGCCATTTAGCATATTTCTCAGAATGGTTTCATGGAACACTTTGAGAAACATTGTATTAGAGATACATGTCTTGCTAATCTGAGCTATATGGGCATACAACACTTATGTATGTTGGAAAAACTGATACATGTGCTCATTCACACAGCTTAAAATGAAGCCACTCGACTCAATCATATGTAAAGCAAGATCATCAGCAATTTCTGAAATTTTATATCAAATTTTTGAAGTAAAACTCTCTGCTTCCCTGTATGCACCAGCACAGACACACATGAAATTATGGACCTAACCCTACAACACAGCACAGTACTTGCAAAGATCAATATGGTAGCCTTCTCCAAATCCCATCCTGAATGGGATGTCCCACATGTGAATGCAGTGCAAGATAAAACAACACAGAATTAGGATAAGTGCTCAAAGAAGGCTGGCTTGCTCACTACTCCACCCTCAATTCCTTTGCAGAACCGGAACCCCAAGGGGCAACTTCCATAGGACGTGAAATTGTTTGCCATAGAGCTGGAACTCCTTCCTTTCATGGGCACACGTTCCTCTTCACACACAAATGTGGAAGGGAATAAATGACTTGTATAGGCCAAATCATAAATCTGTGGTACAGTGAGGAATTAAGAATCCTTAGTCCTGTGTCCTGGTCCCATGCTTTAACAAAGAAGATTCCCTTCCTCCCCAGTGACTAGAGCCACTGCTATTCTGAAAGCCCCTGGTCAAAAGCAGTAACTTGTCATTCTTATGTAAATTAGTAGGTCAACTATTCCTACTTCAGGCATTTATCACTCAATTTTCTTTTACTCCTTGCTTTCTCTATCCCATCCTTCTCTGTTACCGAATAGGGCACAGATGGAAGTTAGGAGACCTGACTTCTATTCTTAATTCTGCATCTGACTTCATGTGGCTTTGAGCAAATCACTTAAAAATTCTGATCATCAGGTTCTCCATCCATAAAATGATGATGATATAATGCTACACACGTTTTATAAAGCACTTTGAGATCTATGGGTGAAAATGTTTTTCATAAAGTACTAAGTACTATCATTATAATTATCTATCCGATAATGCATCCATTCATCATGATAGCTATGAGTGGGATCTCGCCTTACAATTTTGGAAGTGAGGGAGCACAGCATTAAGAAAAGTGAATTTTGGTTTACTGTCTTAAAAGGGCACTGTTAAAGCTTGGGGTGGGAGCATAAAATTAGATCTATCAACATTTTGTTGTTTTGAGTGCACGTATATAAGCCATACTTCCACTATGCCTGCCAAGTTATTGTTAGCGGAATAGAAACAGAGATTTAGCAGTGTAGCATTGATATTACATCCCTAATACTAATTTCAGAATCAGTACAAACTGCTTTTAATGAAATGTTTGCGATGAGATTCAGTTTTAGGACGCAGCTTTAACTGAAGGGAAAAATCTTTCAATGTTACACCTTCGTTCACATGCAGTAAACTGGTTTCCTGAGGACTTTTGGCTATGTCTACACAGCATCATTATTTCAGAATAACTTACGTTATTTCGAAGTAACATAGTGCACAGCTACACTGCAAGCCTTTATTTCGAAATAATGTCTAGCTGGAGGACTTCTTACTCTAATTCGTGGTAACCCTCATTTCACGAAGAGTAAGGGAAATCGAAGGAAGAGCGCCAAAAGCCAAATTAAGTTTTTGACTTCAGCTATGCAATTGACATAGCTGAAGTTCCATAGCTTAATTCAACTTTTGCCCTGTTATGTAAATGTGCCCTGGAGGAGCAATAAACACTCACAGGCACGTCTAGCCTTCCCTCTCTCCTATGTATACAGTATTTTAAAAGCCTCAGAGTTGTAAAGAAAACACCAATATTTTATATAAGGACATGTCTACACTAGGAAATTATTTTGAAATATCTACATTTGAAATAATAACTCCTGAAATAACGAATTTGAAATAAGCTTATTCCCCAAAGAAAGCAGGAGTTAGTATTTTAAAATAACCAGCCTGTTATTTTCAAATGACAGGCTTGGTAGTGTGGACGCTCTGCTTATTATTTTGAAATAAGGGGGGTTATTTTGAAAGAATTCCCTACTGTAGACTGGGGCTAACGGGTCTGCTTCTTCCTTTCTATTCACAAGGCCAGTAACCCTGTCAAAGAAGAAACTTAAGCTCAGTTTGCATGATTTGTTCTTCACAAATCCATGCTGGCTGTTCCTCATTACTCTGTTATCCTCTAGGCACTTGCAAAATGACTGTTCAATAAATTGTTCTGGTACCTTTCCATGTATTGAAGTTAGGATGACTGATCTGTAATTTCCCACATATTCTTTATTCTCTTTTTAAAAGTCAGGTCTTCTTCAGTCCTCTGGGGCCTCCAGGGTTCTCGAAGATAATTACTAATGGTTCCAAGTTTGCAAGTTTGCTTCAGTTAATATCTTATGTAACCAGGATGAATTTCATCAGGTACTACTAACTTGAATCTACCTAATTTATCACAATATTCTTTAATCTGTTATTTTCCTATTTTGTCTTGGGTTCTTCCCTCGTGTTGTGAATAATTGTATTAAATATCTGGTCACCATTAATCTTTTTAATGAAACCTGAAGCATAATAGGCATTAAACCTCCCAGACCTTCTTGATGTCATCAGATCTTCTTCCTCACTAAGCAGACTAACACTTTCTGATGTCTTCCTCATGCTCCTAACATTTTTAAAGATCTCTTCTTATTACTGCTTATACAGGCAGTCCCCGCAGTTACGAACGGGGCCCTTCCTCTCCCTGGTCTCCAGCAGACCACGGAGAGGAAGCAAAGCGGTGGAACACGCGGGCAGCGGACAGGGTTATCCGCTGCCCACGCGCTCCGCGGCTTGGCTCTGCTTTGCCCCCCCAGTCAGCCGCTGGTCAGTTTCAGCAGCGGCTGAATCTGGACGCCAGTTCCGACTTACATACAGATTCAACTTAAGAACAAACCTACAGTCCCTATCTTGTACGTAACCCGGGGACTGCCTGTAGTCACAGAAACCACTCAGTACCTTGCAGGAGTGGGCACTGAGAAAGTAGCTCCAGTTATGCAAAAAAAAAAAAAATCTGTATGCACTACTGTTTCTAATTATTATTTTTATCAAGCTCAGGTTCACAGATAAGTTTAGAACGTAAGGATAGGTTCCATCAGGCAAAACTTGTGTATGTTTAGATGGCTTCCAGCTGGCTTTCAGCCACACTTATTTACCATCTCACTATCATACATGCCCAGAGGTTTGCATGTTTTCCCGTTCCGTGGGGGCCTGAAATAAAAACAGTCTGATGGCCAACCCTTTGACGCTTCTGCAATAAGGCATTTACACTCAATCCACGCAGCACAAATCTGAAATCATTCCATAAATAAAATGCAACTGAATTAAATTATTAGAAGGTAGGATACACAAAGAACAAGTTAAAAATCACTTAGGAAAGTTAGATGTCAGCAAGTCACCAGGTCCTGATGAAATGCATCCCAGGATACTCAAGGAGCTGATAGAGGAGGTATCTGAGCCTTTAGCTATGATCTTTGAAAAATCATGGCAGACAGGGGAGATTCCAGAAGACTGGAAAAGGGCAAATATTGTGCCCATCTATAAAAAGGGGAATAAGAACAACCCAGGAAATTATAGACCGGTCAGTTTAACGTCTGTCCCAGGGAAGATAATGGAGCAGGTAATTAAGGAAATCATATGCAAACACTTGGAAGGTAATAAAGTGATAGGGAATAGCCAGCATGGGTTTGTGAAGAACAAGTCATGCCAAACTAATCTGATAGCTTTCTTTGATAGGATAACGAGCCTTGTGGATAAGGGAGAAGCGGTGGATGTCATATACCTAGACTTTAGTAAGGCATTTGATACGGTCTCGCATGATATTCTTATTGATAAACTAGGCAAATATAACTTAGATAGGGCCACGATAAGGTGGGTGCATAATTGGCTGGATAACCGTAGTCAGAGAGTTGTTGTTAACGGTTCTAAATCCTGCTGGAAAGGGATAACAAGTGGAGTTCCTCAAGGGTCTGTTTTGGGACCCGTACTGTTCAATATCTTCATCAATGATGTAGATATTGGGATAGAGAGTACGCTTATTAAGTTTGCAGATGATACCAAACTGGGTGGGGTTGCAACTTCTTTGGAGGATAGGGACATAATTCAAAATGACCTTAGCAAGTTAGAGAAATGGTCAGAGGTAAACAGGATGAGGTTTAATAAGGAGAAATGCAGAGTGCTCCACTTAGGAAGGAACAATCAGTTCCATACATACAAGATGGGAAGCGACTGTCTAGGAAGGAGCATGGCGGAAAGGGATCTAGGGGTCATAGTGGACCACAAGTTGAATATGAGTCAACAGTGTGATGCTGTTGCCAAAAAAGCAAATATGATTCTAGGTTGTATCAACAGGTGTGTTGTAAGCAAAACTCGTGAAGTCATTCTGCCGCTCTACTCTGCACTAGTTAGGCCTCAGCTGGAGTACTGTGTCCAGTTCTGGGTGCCACATTTCAAGAAAGATGTGGAGAAATTGGAAAGGGTACAGAGAAGAGTGACAAGAATGATTAAAGGTCTAGAGAAGCCTATGAAGCCAGGCTTCATGAACTGGGCTTGTTTAGTTTGGAAAAAAGAAGATTAAGGGGGGACATGATAGTGGTTTTCAAATATCTAAAAGGGTGTCACAAGGAGGAAGGCGAAAATTTGTTCCTCTTGGTTTCTGAGGACAGGACAAGGAGTAATGGGCTTAAAGTGCAGCAGGGGAGGTTTAGATTGGACATTAGGAAAAAATTCCTAACTGTCAGGGTGGTCAAATATTGGAATAAATTGCCAAGGGAGGTGGTGGAATCTCCCTCTCTGGAGATATTTAAGAACAGGTTAGATAGACATCTGTCAGGGATGGCGTAGACGGAGCTTGATCCTGCCTTGAGGGCGGGGGGCTGGACTCGATGACCTCTCGAGGTCCCTTCCAGTCCTATTATTCTATGATTATTCTATGATTCTATGATTATTATTATTTTGATACTTACCAAGCAAAGCAAAATCTCTGTCACTATGAATTGTGCCGTGTTTTCCATGAACAATAAAGGGACACCAGATCTTCTCTGGCTCCTCAACAGTGCATACTGACACAAAGACAGTATATAGATGTGAAGCCTTATTCATTGTATACACCCTTAAAATAAATGTGAGTTTTGCCTCGGTAAAAAGTGCAGGATCAGGCTGATTTTGATCAAACCAGTCCTCTGTTTCATGAGAAAATATACTAAGGTTTAATAGAACAAACAGCTGTAAGTCACTGTGACATAACCATCAATCCATTAGCATAGAAGACATGAGTTCTAACCTGTTCTCAGCATCAGCACTGCATTTTGGAGACAGCAACTCAAAGGATTTTGTAAACTTCACCACCTGTCATATTAAAAACATAATTCTATCTGAACTTGGGATTTTTCATGAAAAATTATATATGTGTTCAGCAGCAATGTAATGCTTTTATATTTTAAATATATATTTTAATCAGGAATGTTCACTTGTGCATTTCTCAGGTGAACTATTCATGTTCAAAATTTATGTTGCAATACAGCACATAAGCAAACTATAAAAATATACTAAACTGATTTATTTATACTGATTTCTTCCCAAAATAATATTTTTCCTACAATGTTTAGCACAGAGACTCCCAGTGACTTCAAAGGACCAGAGCTTCATTCTTTCACAGTCAATAACTGAAACAGCTAAATAATCTGAGAAACAACCACAAATAATCAAACGAGAAACACAGAAATAGAAGTTGACCAGATTCACTTCAACTGAACTTCCTCTAATTATGTCATATGGCCATATAATGTCACCAGCTTTTAAGTGCAGCTTCCCATTTAAATCAATTGGGTAATTTCAGAGTTGTGCTTAACATGGTCTACAGAGAATATTTCTGACTGTTACCAGCTGGCCCCAGGTGCCTCAATGTCTTATGGGAGTTATGATTCACAGTCCTTGCAGGGATGCACAATTATGAGATTTACAAAGAACAGTGAACAGCAATGGTGGGGAACCTTTTTTGGGTTGGGGGCCACTGACCCACAGAAAAATCAGTCGGGAGCCACACACAAGTGAGAAGCCCCTGACTGAGAAGGAAAAAGATATTCCTCACATTCCCCTCGTACACCAGAGCCTAGGGGGTCCCAGGCTAGTAGATTTTGTGTGCTCCAGGCCTGTGGGTGAGTGACACGGGGGCTGGAGCACCAGTGCAGGCCCCCCAATGTGGGAGAGATCCTCGAGCCTCAGAGGGCCAGATTCAGGCAAGCCAGGAGCCACATCTGGCCCCCGGGCCTGAGGTTCCCCACCCCTGGTGTACAGCCACAGTGAAATATTCAGTTGTCTGCAAATGTCAATGTAGTGGAGATTCTGTAAAGGCACAGGCTGAAATGGTGCATGAAATCAAATTCTTGACAAGTACTTTTATATTGTTAACCTCCTGATCTTTAACATAGCTTTATAGTGGAATAATTATTCCTGTGATAAGTGGACAGAATATTTCCTATTGTGTCATCTTTTCTTGGTATAGGAATGTCAGATAAAAATGGCTTTTTTATAAGCAGTAACCACATTTTATTACCATGGGTTGTTCCAAGCTACAATTAATGCAATCTCCAGTGACACAAATTTGAATGTTTGCCAGGAATTTTTATCTGCAACTCACATCCCTGAAATAACATGATAGCATGTAACCCATCCAACAGGCTATTTTCCAAAATCACAGAAATAACAATAATAATTAGTAATACATTTACATATGGGCTCAGGAAGAAACATGTATCTTTAACTCTTACCCCACTTACAATTCCAGAACCGCTAGTCAAATGAAAAGTTTTGAGAATGTAATCTTACTGCCTCCTCTGTGGCTATGAAAGTCCCCAGATTCAATAGATCGAGTGCAGTTCTACTGGATGTGAGTGCAAAGAAGGCACAGCCTAGCTCAACTGGTCCTCTCCCACTTTTTGAGGATGGGACAAAGGAGAACAGGAGAGAAGGGAAGTGGAGTACCCCCACAAAAGAGGGACACAATAGAGGTGTAGGATTTTGTAGCCTCAAGACAATCGCAATAATGAGTATGTGATTAGACTTCCACACATACATGCAACCCAAAAAAGTATTTTTACATTAAATCAAAATATTGTCTATTTGAACAGAAATACTTAAGGATTCAGGCAAATATTTGTGAATTTATATTTGCACAAAACTAAAAGGTGCAAAAATACAAAAGCTACAGAAATAGTTTCAAAGACATTTAGTGACTAATTGCTGAAATACATGCAGAAAGAAGTAGGTTATAAAAGATGCACATTAAAGAACTGGTTTATTGTTCTCTGGAACTAGTTCTGTATATTAAAGCTGCTTTCAAACACTACCAATTAGGTAAGATGTTATAATGATAATTTTAGCAGTGAGTTTCGGGAAGATGATACAGTAAAGACAGATTTTTTCCTCAGAGCAATTGCATTTTGGAGAAAAAGAAAACAGATGGCAAATGCTTTTCATCCTCCTTGATTTCTTTATAGCCACACAAGAGCAGCAGTTTGATTCTCAGTTAAATGCTGCTGAGACCTAGGCTTTACACACACACACACACACTCTCTCTCTCTCTCTCTCTCCCCCCTCCCCCAAAAAAACAAAAACAAACAGGCAATTAAGGACTATATAACTACAACTGGATCACTCTTCCTGTCAATTCCATACAAAACTTTTAATGTGACTGCAGTAAATACCTTTAGGTGGGCAAAAGGAACTATCAACAAATGTTGTGGAAACATTTGACAAAAATTAACATAAAGTGTATATAACTTAAAATAAGAACAGCCTCACCACAATAAAAACAGACATTATACCACACCTGTCTTAGACCTTCTCTAAAATTTGAAGGACCACTTACTGGTGATTCAATGTCTTCCAGCAGTAATACTGAGCAGCGTTCACACTTCAACAGAGTCTGGGCTCGATGCATGATTTTCTTAACGATTTTCTCTAAGTCTGTCTGTTCCTCAAAGAGATCATTAACTACTTCCAACAAAGCCTGCATAAGAAGACAGGAAATGATTACTTTGGTTTTGGAAGCAATAATTAAATGATTTACTTGTAAAGATGTGCAATCTTTGCGACTGATTCTGTCCTCATTAAACTGATGAAAAGTAACTCCACTGACGTCTTCATTCAAGCAAAATTCTTACTGATTTCAATGTCAATTGAATCAATGGGAGTTTTTCTTGAGGAACCAGTGATGAAAAACGGAATAATCATGTTTGGGTTTGGTCCTGCATAGAGCATAATACAATTCTACTTCAGTTTTCCATTTATTTCAATAGAGTTTTAGATTGGATTCAAGAAGAAAGAGTTTCAAAGTTTCATAGGAGCATTTAGCTAGCAGGGTTAATATGCTTCATGATGGTATGGAAAACTGTCTTTTAATAACATGTCCACATCTACTGACTTATGGTTGAGATGGCCAAGATTCGATTTAGAACAATGGTGGGCAATCTGCAGCCTGCCAATTCCTGGCCAATGAGAGCTGTGGGAAGCAGCACAGGCCACAGGGACTTCCTGGCCACTGCTTCTCACAGTTCCCATTGACCTGGAGTAGCAAACCACAGCCAATGGGAGCTGTGGGCATCTGGACCAGTAGCTGCAAGGTAAACAACCTGTCTGTCTGCCTGCCAGCAGCTTACCCTGACAAACTGGGAACCACAGGTTGCCCACAGGTTTGCCCATAACTGTGTTATAATATTATGATGCCTTTAATACTAATCCCATCACCCTGCTTTACTTATTTATTTGAAAAAGTTCATTGCAATTTCAAACCCAAAACACGAGACATGTCTTAAGAGACCAAGACGTAAACATTAGACAGTCACACTGATCCTGAATTTAAAATCAGCGTACACAAACTTTTATAAATACGAATGAACACATTTTTCAAATGGATGTAAGAGATAATGAAAAAGTACCGGCCATGCAGGCATGCAAAAACATTCCACATGAACATTTGCCACTGAAGATAGGCAGGTATTTGAAAGTGATCTGCAGACTGGGAAAAACCACAGTTGGCTTGGTGCAGATAGGCATTACAACTTTGAGTGGCAGTGTGCTGATTTATACTATATACTATTTATACTATTTAGCTGTTTTATACTATACTATACTACTATTTAGCCCATTGTGTTTGAATTATTTTTTCTTCCTTGTTATCTACGTAGGAGATCTGAAATGAGTTTTGGTTTGTGTTTGCTAGTTTTTCACTCTAGAAATATCAGGACTATCTAGCCTTGCCTTCTCTGTCTTTGTGGGAGGGACTAGAGAACTGCAGCAGGAACTTTCTCAGCCCTCATTTCAAGGGAGACATGTTAAACCTTTCTCAAAGTGGCAGATTCTGATTGCAGTTAGGATTGGTCTGCACATAGCTTGAGTTCTGATTTCACTGTATCAGTTTAGAAACTAATTTAGATGAATTAGTTTAACCCCCTTCTGTGGGTACTTATATCGTATTCAGGGAGCCCTATAACACTTTCGCTTATGGACATTCTTTACCAGTTTAAGATAAATAAAAATAAGGAACTCTTAATCTGAAACTAGAGTCTCCACATCAACAGCCTGCCGTAGTTTCACTAAATCAATTTTAAAGCTATTTACTTAAATTAGTGCTCAGATTGTGTGTAGGTAAGGTCTTATTAGCATTTTACTCTATATATATGTTTACGCTGCAATGAAACCTGTGGCTGGTCCTGGCCAGACAAGTTGGTCTCACAGAGTTTGGTCTCCAGGACTATACATTTCTGGGCTTGGGCTAGAGCCCAGCCTCTGAGACCCTTTTGTAAAACGAGAAAAAAAATTAAAAAGCTGTCAGGCTTTTTTATACTGCACAAAATGGCAAAAAAAAAAAAAAAAAGACACGAACACGGTAGATTTTTTCCTTCACAGACAGCATTTACTACTTAATTTATATCCGTACCTTAAGAATAAATCTGATAGATAAAAGCCAAAATTTAAATTTACAGCTTAACCAAAAGTTGAAAATATTTTTAAATATGGCTTCATTTTCTCTTTTAAATAGGCCAAATACTTTTTCGGTATAAATCAACCAGGGGTGTCTTAATAGTAGAAATGCTGGGGCTATGTCTACATTATGGAGTCTACACTATGGAGGTATCCCAGAAGGATACGCATCTGCTCTTCTTACATTTTTTTCGGAATAACAGATGCTCTCTTTCAGAAGCCCTGTCTTCCTTGTGCCACAAGAAAGAAGGTCTCTTCCGAAAGAGGAGGTTTTTCTGAAATTTGGCCCAGTGTAGACGGACCAAATTTCAGAAAAGACTCTTCCAAAAAAAAATCGGAAAAAGGTATGCAAATTGCGGAATGCAATTTATGTACCTTTTTCCGAAAAATAAGTGTAGTGTAGACATAGCCTGAGACCCGCTGGACCAAACTGCAAACCCTCTATACATTGGAAACTACTTCAAGCCCGGAGGGGCAGCTGCATTCCCAGAACCCTAGTTCCAGCACCTTTGAATAAACTGCAATCACTGAAGTTAAAATGGAGACGAATTTGACCAATTACTTCGAGTCACTCAATACAGCTCTGGCATTAACGTGTCTCTATATCACTAAATATATAAAAGAAAATTAGTAGTCTGAGCCCTGCTAATTAGAAAATTCAGCCCAAAAGAGGAAAAGCTCGATTTACGTAGATTACAATTGAACCCTTAAAAGCTTTGCTATATTGGCCGATTCAGGATTTGCTGTCTTGCCAAATCAAATTAAGGTCTATATCTACAAGACAAATGTAATTACTTCAGTTTAATTTAATCCATCTAAAAATAACAAAATAGTTCAAGCTGACAACCAGGATGATATGAAAATGAGCTTGCTTGTATGTCCATGTACATTTTGTCAAGCAACTTCCACAAAACTATTCTTCAGATAGCACATATAGCCACAACTGGAATGACAAGCCCCAAATTTGAGACAACTTAAAATGCATATAACAAAGAATGCCTCAAGGAAAGTAAATAGGCAGTAAGACATAATCTGCCGAGAAATTTTAAAATAACTCGTGCATGTGTAAAATAGCAACTCTACAAACCCAACACTTCTTTGCTCTGTGCTCTTCCTGTAATTCTAGAGTGTCACTGAATGCAGGTCACCCTAGAGCTGCCAAATGGCAATGAATTTTGTCAATACTTCCTTGAGGTTGAAATAGTGATCAAGAAAGGGCAGACCTATGTTTCCAGAAGAATTCTCTCAGCTGTTTAATCCCCAGAAATTGACATATTCTAATGAAAAGTGAGTGTGAAGCATTAGGAGGGAGGAAGAGGTATTCAAGAACCCTGAAAAAATCATCTTAATCATTTCCTGTTTGAAATTACCCATCTGGCTAAGGAGATTAAACTGAGGCTTCCCCCCAGAGTCGATAATCAACACTTCAAGAGTGTCCCTTCAGAGTGATGTGATGATTTCAAATGTTTTAGTTTACTTCTTTCTTTTTGCTACAACTTCATCAGAAATGTCAGCATGCTTGTCAGCATGCTTCTATAAAAGGGAAAGCAGTTTTAGTCCGAAGAGAGAATAAGGTTTATATGCCTGAGAATTTGACTTCCATCAGCTCACATCTCAAAATTAAAGACTAGATTATTTTACCAATAAAAAAAGTCCCACAGAGCAAAAAGACAGCTTTTGGAAATGCCTCCTCCATCTCTTCTATGCAGGTTTAGATAGCATTGAAAATTAATTGCAAATAGCTAAATCTCTGAGCAGCTTCTGTCATCATATTATTAAATAATTGCCAAAAAAAGTCTCCACCTCCCCCTCTCCTAAAATTGCAGTGGTCCATATTGAGACCTGCACAGGAGTAAAAGACCTGATGACCTACAATCTAGAGATTTAAACTATTGGAAAGGGGAGACTCCTTGCTTCCCAATGGGACATAAAGCAATAGGTGTCTGATACTGGCAGATGCCAAGATACTTATGATTACGTTATTATGCATACAAAAACTAAGGTACCAGAGGTTTTTAACACCTGTTCATTATATTTTCTCTCTCTCTACAAAGTGTGACTAGTTGTCCCCATTGAACTCAATGAGAATATTGAACAAAGGGAGTTTTGCTTCACAGGAGTAGAGATTAATAATGGTGTGTTTTAAAGGTCGTGGCTGATCTCCTTTGGGGACTGCAAAACTCATTCCTGGCTTCACCAATCACAAGTAATTCACCGATTCACACGAATGCTGATAAAATCCCTAACATACAGCACTCTTGCTCACTCACTTTCATAGATAAATATTTACCATATTTTATAGACAAATTAAATATTATAAATCCAGGAAGCTCATGGTTGACATTTCTGAAATTTCTGAATCTGTGGAAATGTAATTCTATTCTGCAGCCTGGGTTATAAATATACCTATCTCAGCGCAATAAACTTGAAACTGATGTCAAGAAATAAACATCTATCATCAAAAGCAAATTAATCTACCACTGTCTAAGATTAACGCCTCATGAACATTCACCACTCACCTAAAAGTTTCTCTCTGAATTATTCTGAAATAAAATATAATTGGTTCCTTAAAACTATCTCTTCTGGAATTTGAAGGAAAGAGAAATGTGATGTGTTAGGAGCTGTCGAAGATGCTGCTTTCTACTTACTCTGCTTCTGTCATATTCCTTTCTTGAAGCAGCAAATAGCTGGGCATTAGATATGGCAATTCCACAAAATGGAAGGTACAGCTGCATCACCTATTTCAAAGATAAATTTTAGGCAATTAGGAAATACTATTGAATATAAACATCCACGTTTTTGAGCAATGAGATCTGAGGACACTTCGCAACTCTCAGGAAGTGCTCTGGACCGTTAAAGTCTTCTATTATAAAACTAAAAACAAAGCAAATTATCTGTGAATGGTCCATGGAGATGGTAAGCTCAGTTGAAGATCAAGTTTCAGGAGCTATAGGAAAGGGAGCAAGAAGAAGGGAACATCTGGTTGAGTAGAAATGTGACAATAGGGGAAGAAAATTCAAAAAGTTC